AGCGAATGCGAAGCTAAGATCGATCTCCTACCGCCTCTCACCTGCGTCCACACGACGGAGCGACCCCTTCGTCAACTGCTTCTGGCAGCAGCAAGTCACCGCATCCCGAACGGCCGCATTCCCCTACTTCGTCCAATTGTCCGCCTGAAGCCCCCCGCCTCGAACGCGAGAGAGACGATATACGAGCACGTGATTCCAACGACCCGGCGAACTGAACGGCTTGATCACCAAGACAAGACGCTGACAAAATACGCGTCGTAGGTATCCTGCTGGCACCTAAAAACTAATTAACTCGGTTAACAGACTGGGAGGCTGCTTTTTCAAAAAGATAACGACCTACTCCCACCTTAATAACACATGGGCAGCAATGAGTTAGAGACCATCATTGAACAAAAAAGACTGAATATTTTTCTCGCATGTTACGAACTATACAACCGAATTATAAAACAAAATCCCCCAAAACAGAAATTGTAGACCTCTGTGTGAGCGTCAATAGACCTAGACTCACTAACACAAATGATTAAGAAAAACGTACGCATTACGAGAGTAGTTTTTTTCTCATAACTTAAGGAAGAATAAAAGAACTAACTATGGCTCATCACTGCATATTTAATTTCGACTAAACCCACACCTGTGCTAGGCTTTGTAATTCGCATAATAAAGAAATACCTCATAGTCTTTGAAAATGCCTATGGCATAGCTTCGAAGTCGTCCGGAGGAGAAAAAACGGTGCCAGAGGTGATGGAAATCTAGGCGTGCGGCGGCGTCCAAGAAAGTTAGAGCACGTTCATGGTATGTTCGCGCAATTCGAAACATCTGAGTTGGCGAACTGCCAATGTGAAGGTCGAGGCCTGTAGAAAACATTCTCAAAGTATTCATATAGCTAATGCAACCGACTGGCAGGCAAGCCTTTCTCGGAGAAGCGAGAACATGAACTGCATGCTCGTATAACTAGTAGCGCGGAAAGCCATGCAAATTATTCGCTTAATCCACTGATTGTGGGGGTACCTCGAGGCCACACAACTTCATCCAGGAAAAAACGTGCTAAAGGGCGCTTCTTGATATCAATATTCACAACTATATCACTTGCGATGACATCCAAAGTATGGAAATGGAAGGAATGTGTCCCTAAAATTGTGAAGCTGGAAAAGCGAGACATACCAGAGGGAAACACAGGGTGTTTTTTAAAAAGAGACTTCACCACGATTTCGGGCTCATCTCGGAAACTGAGTAAAGATAACTGATCACTAGGATAAGCGAAACCAGTCTAAAACAATAAGGCACCAATGAGTCACAAACCGTATGCGTCAGAAACTCTGCGACCGTCAGGTACTTTGATGGAAACTTTTCTGAATAAGAACGAAGTGTCGCCGACTCGTTTATTAATTTTCTGATAAGCCTGTCAGGTCCTAAGTAATTCGAGTTACCTGTCCCGAAGTAACCCAAATGCAAACGAAACGGGTAAGATAGACGACCCGAATACGGGGGTTATAGTATTTGATGACCATGGGACTTCAAAACGGGTATCAGAATAACCACCAACGAGGTCAAAAACGTTCTTTCCGTTCTCGTAAACGACTAGGCCCGCTCCCCTTTCATAGCCCGATTCTATTAACTCACTACATAATTAGTAATAATAGTGAAACAGAACCGGAATTTCGCAGACAGTGGCTTGAATTTCAAAGAGCTCGTTCCTTCCATTTTTGGTGGGAGTTTGAAAGACAGATATGGAAAGCATGCTATGAGGGCAACGAAGACAGCGCCACCAAACGAGAGCAGTCGTAGCGTCATATTTATAAAAACGGATAATTTATAGTTAATTAAAACAAAACTCGGATAGTTCTGGGTTCAAGCTTTCCTGGATGTATGTTTGTATATCTGCTCGAATATGTACATCTATTGTATGGATTTAAGACGCTCCACATCCACTTTAAAAATTTCGAATCCATATTTAGATGTGAGAAAGTTGGGAGGTGGACTGCCGTGCAGGCTGAAAATAATG